AAAGTTCCTTTTTTCTTCTTTGTTTTAATTTGTTAGTATCTTTATTGCATTTTTTTAGGTATCATTTTCTGCATCAATGACTACTACTTTTGCCTCAGGCCACTTTCTCTTAAATTTTGAACTTTCAGTTTGGTGAAACATTCTTATTCCAAAACTCAGCTAATTTTTACAAACATTAACAAATGTTAACTCTTGAGGAGTTTATTAGTCTCTTTCTATCCAGTTTCATCAATTAAATTTAGAATCATTGAGAAATGGCAAAGTGATCTGCTCTCTTACTCCTAAGGGTACAAATAGAAGCTGTACATTGTTATCCATCAGTATAAGGTCTCTTGTTCATTGTGGGGTGATTCAAGTTGTAAAAATCTTTACTATTTGCCGAGTTGCTGCAATGTTAGACTGGAAATACCATTTTAATTCTTACCACATTTTGTCTAAGGTACAAAATGTTGATTGATCCCTACTTTCCATTTCATTAACTAGGTACTCTAACATGTCACTTTATTGTTAGAATTAACTAATGGGTTTTCCATTAAGAATGAGTGGGTTTATAGGCCATGTGTTTTTAGTAGGTGAAATTGTTTAACATCCTGTTATTAGTTTTCTGATTTATTTTAGAAGTTCTTTAAGTTAGTCTTAACACTTAGCCATTCTTTCAGTGTTAAGAGATTTTTATCTAATGCCTTGGGAACTTTGGAGTATTTGAAGGAGATCATTTTTATTATTGAAGCAGGGTGAACATGGGAAGACAATTTAGGCTTCCTGAATCTTAATGTGCTCTTTTTTGGTGTGAATCGTCAACTGTGACTATTAACGGTTTCGTAGACTTATAATTTGAAAAACTTGGAAGTAAAGAAAGATTATGAAACTTTTAACTTTGGGATCTTATCTTTTGAATTGTGGTATTTGACATTATCAAATTGAGAATAGTCAGACTAACAGAACTTCAAGGTACTATTAATGAACTTAAGTTAGTAATGCTTTCCTGCCAGATTTCTTCCTTAGTTTGACACATCTTGAAATTTATAAAAATTGTCCAAGTTTGGGATTGTATGTTATAGTATTGAAATGTAACTTAAAATATTTATAAATCATGTATGATTGTCATATCATTGTTACTATATGTAGAATATAATTCTGTGGTAAGATTTGTATTATTGATAATATGAAATGAAGCAGTATTTTCACAGTGCCAAGAAACCTAATATTTTCCAAAGTAGTTGACTCATTTTTCAGTAACAATTGATATATACAATATTTTGTACCTTATTTAATGTATCTTTATTTATGAATGTAGAAAGCATCCTAGATATGATATGCAATGGTTTATTTTTAATTTTTAAAATTTATTTTAATTTTTCTGTCTGTGGCTGCTGCTGCCATTAGAAATTAAAGTTATTTTCACAGTATTCTTTTTTGTGATTGAGGAATGAATTTTCTGAATAGATCTTCAGAGACAACTCCCTAGGTAAAGTTACTGAAACTAGTATTTAGTTTTAGTGTGTGTGTGATTGAAGAAAGAAAAAGTGAGAAAAAAGACAAAAGTAAAGAAAGGCCCAACATAGTTTGCTGCTGCTTTTTTTCCCTCATTCTCTAATGCTTTTCTGTGTTCCTTTATTGAAAACTCTAGCTTTTCAATCTTTATCACTATCATTTTTACACAGATTCATTTTTTCTTTGATGTTATTTCTGCATTATTCAAAATTCGCCTTTAATTTTTATACATTGTTAGTATTTGAAAATAGAATTGCTGCAGGTTTAAACTCCGTGCTCATCTGCATGTTCAGCATGTGTCATATCTTGCCCTAGGCGTCATCTCCATCCAGTGTGTTGGATTTTCTGACTTTTATCCTTTCTCATTTAGAGACCAATTCCTTTTTTGTTTGTTTGTTTCAAGCACTTAACGTCACCACCTGTTCTTTGCATTTGAGAAGTTCATTTTCTGATATAAAGCTAAATAGTTTTGCTGACGTATAAAGTGTTTTTTCCTCTTCTATAGCAAGTTCAATGTTTTGCTTATGAAGAGAAACTAGCTTCAAAGTTGTGTCATGATTAGAATTTTAAGACATTTTCTGTGAAGGTATCTGGTCAGGGTTTATGGCAGCTGGTGCTTCTTGCCCGTTTTTAAGCAGATCAGGGACCCCTAATCTTCAACTGTTGTGCCTAACTATGGAAAAGCCCTCTTTGTGGTGAGAAGGGTGCTCATTTCACCCTCAAAGAGAGTATGATTAGTTTCCCTTAAAAAGGGGAACACTGTGCTTACCTGCTTACCTAGAGCATACTCACTAATTCTTTGTTGAGTGAGTGAACTAGTTTTTGTTGATCCTAGTGGTAGTGGTTTTGTTTGTTTTATTTTTTGCTTTTTGGTTTATGTGTAAATGAAAACCTTGGGTGATTTAATTATTTGCAAATTCCATAAGTGAAATATTCTCAAAAAGAGAATGTTGTAGAAATCTAAAGAACGGCTGAAGATGAAGTAGAGGCATTTGTTAGATAATTGGAAAGAATTTCTTGGCAGAACAGGTTGTTTAAGCATTTTCTAAGGTTCCAGATATGGTTATATATCCTCTTTCCATAATGGTCTTTAAAAGTAAGATTCTTTCTTTCCTTGAAATATTTTAAGGGTGGGTCTTTCTGATGTACATGGTCTAGTTTGTAGCATTCTGTGATCATGTAAGATTCAAAAAGTAAAATTAACTTTTACATTCATTCTCAATAGAAATATTTAAAATATTACAAGTATAGGATTAAGGACCGTTTAACCCTTACCCTCCTTTTGAACTGTTAATCTTTACTTGAATATTCTACCAGATCTTTTGATAGTAGTTGTGCATTTGTATTTCTGCTCGTTTTAAAAACAATTAATTATTTGAGATCGTGTTTATATTTCATCTTCTTTAGTATTTGGTTCTTTTGTAGCATTTATGATAACATATTTAAAAAACAAAATGTCATTTGCTATTAATTTACAGAAGACATTTCATTATTCTCAAATAAATAAAATAGGAATATTTTAAATTGTGTAGGGGTAAGAAACAGTTTATTCTCCCGCTGCCACCTTTTTTTTTTTAAACCTGTTAATCATTACTTGGAATTAAGAATTTGCTAGTTAGGGCCGGGCGCGGTGGCTCACGCCTGTAATCCTAGCTCTCTGGGAGACCGAGGCGGGCAGATTGTTTGAGCTCAGGAGTTCGAAACCAGCCTGAGCAAGAGCGAGACCCC